ACAGATGCAACTCTGTAAATAATTATAATACGTTATATTGTTCTTTTGTTACACTCAAGTTACACTGTGTCTAGCAGTATTGCTATAATTATCAGAACATCCATAAACAAAATACTCTTTAAAAATGAATGGGAGCTTAGCAGCATATAACGGCACAGAGTCCATCCCCTAAAGCAGCCATCCCCACCCCCTCCCCCCGGGGAACTGATTTCGGTTGTCTGGAGATCAGTTGCCATTTCGGGAGATCTCCAGGCCTTGCCTGGAAGGTGGTAACTTTAGCAGTTGTCTCTTAAATTCCCACCCTTCCTTGGAAAGCCTCTTGTTCGCCGCTCCCCAAATAGGAATTATAGCATTACCCCTTTCCCTGTGCAACACATGAGAGCCCCTCGCCTCTTCCTCACCCATCTCCAACTCCAGGGAAAAGTCCCTTCCAGCTGCCGGGATTCAAACCGCCCGCCCAAGCAGCGAGCTCACGCGAGAGCTCAAGTCTCACTCCGAGACGCAACTTCCTGCCAGGAAGCACCGCTTCCGCCCTTAGTGAAAGTAGGGAAGTCCATAGAGAAAGGCAGGCTAGAGAGGTAAGCTGGGCAGCCGCTGAAAATTGAAAGCCGGTATCTCGGAGGGCGAGGAGGGTCGCTCCATCGCCGCCTCCCCCCACATATTTATGAGGGAAACTCGTACTGCTTCACCGTTTTGCACTGGAAGCGAAGACGGTCAGAAGCAAAATACTATTAAATCTGAATTTCAGTCCTAATATTTTATGCATTTCTGGTTTGTTTTGCTTTTTGAGACCTGTGCGAGTAGCAAGGAGAGAGGAAAAAATCCATTGTCGGTTTGCAGTGATTTGGCAGGGGAGGTCTACCCCTTATCTCCCCCCCCCCGCCGAAAATAGCCTCCCTAAGCTGCAGACCCGGTATTGGGGGGGGAAATAAAAATCCAGTCTGTTGTAGGGTTACCAGCTCTGGCATGGGAAATTCCTGGAGATTTGGGGGTGGAGCAGGGGCAGATTAACCCTTAAGGAGACTGAGCACGTGCTTAGAGAATAATGGAGAGTAGGCTTGCCCAGAGGGGATAGTGCAGTACATAATTGCCAATAGAGAATCCAAAATTGCCAATAGAGAATCCACGACTGCCCATGAGGAATAATGGAGAGGACACTTGCCCATAGGGGATAATGGAGTACATAATTGCCAACAGAGAATCCATGATTGCCCAAAGGCAATATTGCCCAGAGGTCATTCCGGCTCCCCCAGCTCTCATTA